TAGTTTTGACTATGTGTATGAGCGTAAATTCCTCAATGTTCTCCCGCACTCTGCTTGGAGGCGTCGAGAGATCTTCATGCTTGAACACTCCAGACTTAACTGTAGCTGACATTTATTCAATTGATTTATTTTTTCTTAATATTTAATATTTTATTGACCTGTATAGCAAATTTAATATATTTTATTATTATTATTATTATTATTTTTATTATTATTATTATTATTTTTACTTCAGTTACCCTCTAGATGCCATAACTAAAGAGCATTTCAGATGCGTTGCTCGCTCTGCAGCGCGCTTTAGTTGTTGCATACTTTTGGAAGCACTGCGATTTTACAATTTGTATATGGTAGATTGGTGTGTGTGCTTAAGTGTGCATCTGTGTGTGTGTTGTACCGAGTGTGAATCTGCCTGGCATTACTGTTTGTATTGCCAAAGTTGTTGTAACTTCGTTAAAATAAGCACTCTGTTAGTTTGGCCCGCCGGCTCAATGGGCACTCGTCCGTACGCTCCTCAGCGCTCCTCTCTTCTCTGTCTCTCTCTCTCTCCATCCTTCCCACTCTTCCATCCCTCCTCTAGCTGTTGCCTCAAAGTCCCCTTCTGGGCAGTGGCAATGCAGCAGATTTGTCGGCGGTTTTTGCCATTACAGCCACATACCTAGTTGCAGACCTATTCGTTGTTGTTGATATTGTTGTTGTTGTTGCTGCTGCTGTTGGCACTGTTGATAGTGGTGCATCTGCATTAGTAATGGTGGGTGAGTTTTTGGATTTGGATTTGTATATGGACTTGGAGGGGCGTGGAGGCTTGGAAGGGCTATGGGCTATGGAACCACCCGCATGTCATGTGTGTGTCGTGTCTGTGCCAAGGTACGTAAACGTAAACGTAATCTTAACGTTTAATTTTTCGGTTAGTGCTCCTTCGACTGCAACTCGGATGCACTGCAGCACCTTCGGGGCTATTAAACTGCAAACACTTTGCCGCCGCAGCAGGAGTCGGACGGGCGCTGGTCTAGCGCATTCCTTTATTTTCGCTTTCGATTTCGCTGGGCTAACACAATGCCTAGCTGCGGCAGCGGCAGCCCCTTACCAAAAACTTGTACTTAGCGTCGTTTCCTTCCGCTCAACACGGCCAACGAGCAGCGGCTCGTTTGGCAGCGCTGTCTGAAATGCAATTAAGTCGCATCGACATGCAATCTCCGGCATAGCGAAGGCGCACACACTCACACACACACACACACATTGATAACATGCAGCACATACGCAACATGCAGCACTCGGCCAGCGAACAGCTGCAACAACTGCAACAACTGCAACAACTCCGCCAACAACAACTGGCAACAGCAGCAAGTGGCATTTCCATTGCCGCAGGCACTAAGAAAGCCCTAAAAGCGCTGAAAGCTTTCAGTTAGCCAGCAGCAGCAGCAGCTCGAAAAAAAGGGGCATACACTGCCAGAAATTAGGGGCAAGGGTGTGCACGAACTCTTTAAGCGTAAAGTTGTTCACTAAATCTCATAAACTAGGCCGAATAGGGCTTTAAGAGTATTTGAAAAATGTGTTTTAGAATATAGATAGAGGTATAGATACAGGTATATTGAGAATGTAAAACAGCATAGTAAAGCATACAAAAAAAAAAAAAAAAAAACATCTCTGCTGTATGCTTATATATAAAAGAGAATAGACTTTTTGTATAAACATTAATATGAGGAAATTTTAGGAAATTATCAAATATGCATAAATTTTACAGACATAGAGAGAATTACGTCATAGCCATTCTCAAGTTAAATTTATTATAAAGCCAGACTTTCTTTATAGCTAGAATTGGAATCAAAAACATATTTTCAATTAGCCTAGTCGAGCATTATTTGTAAATTATTTCAATATACATATATGTATATTTGTTGTTGATATTTCAATTTGCACAGCTGTGTCTAATCAGAAATAAATTTAAACAAATAAAAAATATATTGCATATATTATAAATAATTGAAAGCTTTAGCCAAATTTATTTTGAGTCTTAGTGCGCGAAATTATATATTAGTCTTTGTACACAAAAATGTACATTATGATAATTTGACTAGCCATTAGATATTCAATTTAAATATTCCAAAATAGCAGCAGAAAAAAAATGTATATATCATATGCAAATTGAAATTTTCCACAAATATTCTAATTAGTTGAAACCACTTTAGAATTTGGCATAGATACGAAACGTCGAGAGGCTATAGAAATATAATCTGGCAGAAGTCCCGGCATGCTTGAAAATGTAAATCAACACTCAGCTGTAAGACTTGGCTATTACACGATTATGTATACGCATAGTGGGGCTGATATCTTTTTTTTTTTTTTTTTTTTTTTTTTTGGTTTTGTTTTTGTTTGCTTTTTGTTGGTCTGAGCACTTTGGCCAACTCGCACTTTTACTTTTATTTTAGCCCGGCCATCTAGAGGCAAGAGCGAGCGAAGTGCATCTAGTGCACAAGTGGAGCACTCGTCAGAGCTCTTCAGCGTGCCGATAATCCAATTATGGCCATGGCCTGCCAAGGGTCTGACAGGCTTCACCTGCTGTTGTTGTTGTTGGGTAGCCTTTTCTGGCTGGGTTACCTGTGCTACCTGTCTGTCCTGTTGTGCGCGCGCGCTCGCTCACTCGCCTGCTCCGAGTCTCTCACATAATTTTAGCCAGTTTATTTGGCTGTTTGGCTTGGTTCGCGTTATTATCAAGTTACATTGGCCAAAACACTAAACAGGCTATGCATGTAGTATATAAAAGGGTCGCCGCCTGAACCCAAGCCCAAGCCCAAGCCAACTTTCAATGGGGGCTAATGTCTGAGGCTTGCCGCAGTTGAAGTCGCAGTCTCTAATCAGTTGAGGGCGTGTTCGAATGTGGGGGACGTGTGTGGGAGTGTGTGGCTTAAACATTTGCTTCGTTTAGCGCATTGTGTTTGTTATTTAAAACACGTAAACGCTCAACGAAGCGAAAGTGTTTGGGATTTTCAGTCGGCAGCTTGCAGGAGTTACCAGTTGAAATCCAGTTTAATTAAAATACCTTTTGGGGCACAGTTTTCCATTAGGCAAATACAAAATAGAAGCACACGGTGTTAATATTTCTAGCATTTTTATATTTATTTTCCGTCTTTTTATTGTTTTTTTATTCAATTTCATTTGTATTGATATGATTTTTGTTTTTTCTCTTAACTTTTCGGGTTTTGTTGTTGTTTTTTCACTACTTTAATTTTGCTTCTGCTGTTGTTGTTCATAATAGGAAGAAAAAGTAAAAAAGAGAACACAATGCATTTGCTGACTCGCTCTATCATATCATATATGTTAGTGTGGTATGTGTGTGTGTGTTTGCTTGTGTGTATTTACAATATAATATTTTGTATATAATATATATAAAAATTGTTTCCGCTCACACAAAAAATGGAAAGAAAGAAGAAGAAGCGAACAGAATCCTGTTGGCATTTTATGAGCAGCAGCCATTGAAAATGCATTTTGTCCCGCTCCTAATTGATTTATTCATTTGTTTGCCATGAATAGTTGATTTTTGTTTTCTTTTTTGCTGTTTTTTATTTTTATTTATTTTTTTTATTTTATTTTTTTTTTTAAATGTATATTTATTTGTAATATTATTATTATACTTGTGCATTTTGCATCATCGTCGTGTAAACAACTACAATTAGTATCACGATTGTCATTGTTGTAACAAAAGCAGAAACGATAAGAGAACAATAAACAAATAAATTAAGCTTTTTTCTTTATTAATAGTTTATTTCGTTTAATTGGTATTCATGTATTAGTGTTTGTGTGTGTGTGTGCACTCTGTAAATGTTTACGCGTTTCATTATGACTCTTTGTTTTCTTTTCTCTTGTTTTTTTGTTTTTTACCCATATAACTTTTGCCAAAACTGATATGTACTTATATACGTGTGTTAAAATATTGACTGCTGCCAAAGTTCGTAAACCCCTAGTAGACCTTGTTTTATTTTTTGCCTCTTTCGCTTTTTTTTTTTTATAAATTTTTGTTTTTTTTATTGATAACTGTGCATTGTGTCATTTCTACGTTCATAAAAAAACCATTGTAATTGCTAGCCAATTGTTTGCTTAATTCTTGTTCTTTCTTTTTTCTTTCATAGTCATATTTTTAAATATTTATATTTTTATTTATATTCATGTATTTATAATGTACTTATTGGCCTTGCTGCTAAATTGTATTCCATACTTGTGTCTAGAATTGTTTTTCATTTCTTTTTTTATTTTCAGCTTTTAAAAATATTCGTATATATTTGTATATGTATATGTAAACTATTATTAACAACTTAATTTTCTATTAGATCTATGTAGATGCAAGAGTGTTTTTATTTATTAACTACCTTCTAGTATTTTGTGTGTGTTGGTCTATAAATAGATATGATGTCTGTGTCCTTGTCACTTAATAGGAATCATCATATGTTCGCTTATATGTATGTGTATGTGTTTGTCAATATGTGTCTGATTTAATGTAATCGATTGTATTAATTACCATTAAGTTGGCCAAAGACTCTGCGCTAGGCGTGTTTGGGGGCCAATGAGGAGCACATAAATTACCTAATGGTCTCTTAATGATAGTTAAACAAATGTTAAAAGAAAGTTGAACTTGTTTTGATAAACAAAATAAGCAAATACTAAAAATATCTGCTCTAATTAGCATGGAAACACAAATAACAGAAATGAAAGTAATATGAATGATAATTAATATAATTTATATTCATTTATATTTATTTATAGATTTCATTCATAAAAACTCCCAATCGCTTGGCGCTTGCCCAATTCATATTTACTTGAGTATATATTATCATTATTATAATATATATAAAACTTATACATTACGAGTGGACATAAACCGATTTGCTGTTTACGTTATTGTTAGGGTTCATTAGCTAATTCCAAGTGCTGCCAAAAATTTAGGCTACATTTAGTTAATATATATATATATATATATATATATATATATATATATATATTTATATTAGTTTATATACATTATTATACATATATAGCATTATTTTATCCAACAGGCGCCTCATTCGGCCAGTTCCAGCAGCGACTAGAGCCAACATCAAAGGGATATGGTGAACAGTGGCAGCGATAACGCCGCCGCAAAGGATAGCAGAAAGATGCGCTGACCGGAGCTACTCAGCGCACTCGCCTGGCACAGCAGATCCTCCGGAAAGATCTCCAGTATGGGCAAATGGCGACCCGATGTGGGATCGTGGCAGGTATTGGCACGCGCACGCTGTTCGCAAAGAACGAAAAGTTAATTAATATCGAATTTTACAAAATATAAAAGCTAGTTTAAGATATCCATATAATCGAAGAGAATCTGTCAGATATATTTAATACATGTCATGTATTTGTATATGTAAACTACAAATAAATCAGAGTTTAGCCTATGCTAAATACTAAAGAATCTCCTAGCTGAAAATGTGTCTTCATAATACAAAAAAGTGTCCCTAAAGAACCAAAAAGTAACTGTGAGATACATGTATAACTGTGAAGTTCATAAATATTTTTGAAATACTGAAGTATGAGTAGAAAACCATTTGTAAGATACCAAAATGTATCTGCGAAGTAAAACAGCATATGTGAGATACAAGGGTATATTCCAAACACAAATGTATCTCAAAAATACTGAAATGTATAAATGTATGATTGAAATATATAAGTATCTAAAGATAAAAAACTATCTATAAGATACAAAATAATCTGCAAAATACGAAAATACAAAAGTATCTCTAAGATACAAAAAGCATCCGTGGGATCCAAAAGTATATGCGTTTATCTAATAGATACAAAAGTATCCATAGGATCCAAAAGTATCTGTAAGATACAAATTATCCGTAAGATACAAAAGTATCTGTAAGATACAAAAGTGTCTGTAAGATACAAAAGTATCTGTAAGATACAAAAGTATCTGTAAGACACAAAAGTATCTGTAAGATACAAAAGTATCTGTAAGATATAAAAGTATCCGTAAGATACAAAAGAATCCGTAAGATACAAAAGAATCCGTAAGATACAAAAGTATCTGTAAGAAACAAAAGTATCTGTAAGATACAAAAGTATCTAAGAGACACAAGAGTATCTATAGGATCCAATATTATCCAAAAGGTTCAAAAGTCTGTAAGATACAAATGTATCTGTAAGATACAAAAGTATCTGTAAGATACAAAAGTATCTGTAAGATACAAAAGTATCTAAGAGACACAAAAGTATCTATAGGATCCAAAATTATCCAAAAGATACAAATTTATCTGTCAGATACAAAAGTATCTGTAGGATCCAAAAGTATCTAAAAGATATTAAAGTATCTGTAGGATCCAAAAGTTTCTGTAAGATACATACGAATCTGTAGAATCCAAAAGTATCTGTAAGATACAAAAGTATCTAAAAGATACAAAAGTATCTAAAAGATACAAAAGTATATAAAAGATACAAAAGTATCTAAAAGATACAAAAGTATCTAAAAGATACAAAAGTATCTGTAGGATCCAAAAGTATCTAAAAGATACAAAAGTATCTAAAAGACACAAAAGTATCTAAAAGATACAAAAGTATCTAAAAGATACAAAAATATCTAAAAGATACAAAAGTATCTCAAAGATACAAAAGTATCTCAAAGATACAAAAGTATCTCAAAGATACAAAAGTATCTCAAAGATACAAAAGTATCTCAAAGATACAAAAGTATCTAAAAGACACAAAAAAAATCTTAAAGATACTAAAGTATCTAAAAGATACAAAAGTATCTGTAGGATCCAAAAGTATCTAAAAGACACAAAAGTATCTAAAAGATACAAAAGTATCTAAAAGATACAAAAATATCTAAAAGATACAAAAGTATCTGTAAGATACAAAAGTATCTGTAAGATATATAAGTATCCGTAAGATACAAAAGAATCCGTAAGATACAAAAGTATCTGTAACATACATAAGTATCTGTAGGATACAAAAGTATCTGTAAGATACAAAAGTATCTAAAGAATACAAAAGTATCTAAAAGATACAAAAGTATCTAAAAGATACAAAAGTATCTAAAAGATACAAAAGTATCTAAAAGATACAAAAGTATCTAAAAGATACAAAAGTATCTAAAAGATACAAAAGTATCTAAAAGATACAAAAGTATCTAAAAGATACAAAAGTATCTAAAAGATACAAAAGTATCTCAAAGATACCAAAGTATCTGTAGGATCAAAGAGTATCTAAAAGATACAAAAGTATCTGTGAGGTACAAAAGTATCTGAAAGATACAAAAGTATCTAAAAGATACAAAAGTATTTAAAAGATACAAAGGTATCTAAAAGATACAAAAATATCTGAAAGATACAAAAATATCTAAAAGATACAAAAGTATCTGAAAGATACAAAAGTAACTCAAAGATACAAAAGTATCTCAAAGATACAAAAGTATCTCAAAGATACAAAAGTATCTCAAAGATACAAAAGTATCTCAAAGATACAAAAGTATCTCAAAGATACAAAAGTATCTAAAAGATACAAAAGTATCTGTAGAATCCAAAAGTATCTAAAAGATACTAAAGTATCTAAAAGATACAAAAGTATCTCAAAGATACAAAAGTATCTCAACGATACAAAAGTATCTAAAAGATACAAATGTATCTAAAAGATACAAAAGTATCTAAAATATACAAAAGTATATAAAAGATACAAAAATATCTCAAAGATACCAAAGTATCTGTAGGATCAAAAAGTATCTAAAAGATACAAAAGTATCTGCGAGGTACAAAAGTATCTGAAAGATACAAAAGTATCTAAGAGACACAAAAGTATCTATAGGATCCAAAATTATCCAAAAGGTTCAAAAGTCTGTAAGATACAAAAGTATCTGTAAGATACAAAAGTGTCTGTAAGATACAAAAGTATCTGTAAGATACAAAAGTATCTGTAAGATACAAAAGTATCTGTGAGATACAAAAGTATCTGGAAGATACAAAATTATCTGTAAGATACAAAAGTATCTGTAAGATACAGATTTATCTGCAACTATCTAAAACTATCTAAAGGATGCAAATGTATATGTAAGATACAAGAGTATCCGAAATACAATTATATGTTAGATATAATAGTATCTTTGTAATACATGGTACTCGTGGGAGGAAAGGTAGAAATGTAACTGTGTCTCTGTATCCATACAACTGCAACAGTGAAGTACACAATTTGTGACGAGTAGAGCTATCTGTGCGAGACAAAAGTATCTGTAGTATGCATCACATGTGAATGCAAACTATCTTTGCTGCTGCAAAAGTTACCGCACAATAAAAAAGTATCTCTGCAGTGCAAAAACGCAGCGTTGCCGTTGTAATTCAAACTCCAACTCCAACTCAGACTCAAACTTTAACTGTCGATATACAATAAAAGTAAATGCGAGCTATCACGACGACTTGCAGCAGCTACCTTCGCATTAAGCTGAAAATACTTGAGATACTTTCGACATATTGTTGAATCGCTGTGTGAGACTTTTTAATTGAGTGTCTACTGTGTGTGTCGAGAGTTAGTGAAATTCTCTGAGCCAAGTTAACTTAACTTAATCAAATAAAAAGAAATAAAAGCTTACGCGCATATCGGCAACCGATAGGGGTAGCTTTTGCACAAATGAATTGGAAGTGAATAGAAAAGAAATCAAAAATAGATCAAGAATTATGTTTATTATTTGCTTTGGTTCATTGGGATGATGACGCACCTGCACCATGCGCTTGAGATCATCCTTCTGGATGACCTTGATCTGCGCCGACTCCCGCAGCCAGCGGCGCAGCCAATGCCCGAACCAAACCAGACCGCACTCGCACTCGAGGGGATTGTGGGCGGTGTTGAGGCCGCCCATGATGCTGCGCGTGCCCACCGCATCCCAGTAGCTCTTGTTGGGGTAGAAGCTGTCGGCGGCCAGCGCATTGATGCGATTGTGCGAGATGTCGATGGACAGGTGGGGCACCTTGCGCAGCGTATAGAATATGCCTGGCGGCAGATCGGAGATGCGCGTGTGCGAGATCTTCACGCGCAGCCGCTGATTACGCGCGAGCCCAGCGAGGGCGTCGGGCGAAATGGTCTGCACATTGCTGCCATAGAGCTCCAGCAGCTGCAGCTTCGTGTTGTTGGCCAGCTTGGCCAGCAGCTGCCCACCAATGTTGGGCTCCAGGCAGTGGACGCGCAGTTCCTGTAGTCCCGGCAGCCGGGCCACCAGCTCGCCCAGATTCGCATGAGAGCTGGCATGGAGTTTGCGGAGCGAGCGCAGCTTGGCGAAGGCCTGCGGATTGGCCACCTTCACGTCAAGCAGACTCAGCTCGGACAAGTGGCGCAGGCTGAGCAGATCGTGCAACGTGATGCGGCGCAGCGGATTGTGCGCGAGATCCAGCACCCGCACGGAGGGCGGCAAGTGCTCCACAGCGCAGCTGGCATTCACCAGCTTGTTGTGGGAGACGTTGACATGCCGCAGATGCCGCAGCCCGCCGAGCGGCGACAGCTCCTGCAAATAGTTGCCGCTGACGTCCAGATAGGAGAGCAGCGGCAGCTTCAGCACCGGCAGCACATAGAGCCCCATGTGATGGAGTATTAGCTTGCGGACGCGCGGCGTGTGCACGAACACCTCTCGCAAATTGGTCGTGACGAGCGGATTCTCGGAGAGATCCAGATTGGTCAGATTATTGAGGAAACTAAATGTGTTATCCGGCAGTATGGTGATGCGATTGCGGGCCAAACTTATGTCGTAAAGGAACTGTGAGTTGACAAACATCGAGGCGTCCAGATACTCCAGATTGTTGTGCGACATCTGAATGGAGCGCAGCGTGAACCCGATGTCCGTGAAGGCGGGGACGGGCCAGATGCTCAGCTGATTATCGGATATGTCCAGAAACTCCAGACGTGTGTTCATGAACACCTCGCGCGGCAGAGCGCGCAACCGATTCGAGCAGATGCGCAGAATTCGCAATTTGCGTAAATTTGAGAACTGTTCCACCTGCAGCTGATCCAGCTGATTGTGGCTGAGGTCCAGCTCCTGGAGACTGTTCAGGCCCTGAAAGCTGCGACGTCGCAGCGAGCTGAGATTGTTGTGCGACAGATTGAGAATCTCCAGGAATTCAAGGTCGCCGAAGGCGTGGCTCTGCAGCGCGCCTAACATGTTGTGGGCCAGGTTGAGGAAGCGCAGCGTGTTGGCCAAGTTGGTGAAGCTATCCGACTTGGCCACGTGATTGTGGCTGATGTCCAGCTGGTATATGTACATATAGCTGCTCAGCTCATCGTCAAAATGCGAGATGTGATTGTGGCTCAGATTGAGCCGCAGCGGCGTGGTGGCATTCGAGACGTAGTGAAAGGCCTTCAAGGATAGCGAGCAGAGCTGATTATGCATCAGATCCAAGGCCGCCAGGTTGGGCAGGACAGTGAAGGCGGCATGGGAAATGTTGCTCAGGCGATTGTACGAGAGGTCTATGTAGCGCAGGAATTCCAGATTGTAAAATGCATGACGTGCAATGCTGCGCAAGCGATTCGATTGCAGATTCAGCGTCTGCAGGTCGCCCAAATTGTGAAACGTTTGCGGCTCCAGGCGCTCCAAGGCATTGTAGGAGAGCTCAATCTCCACCAGATGGCTGTGCGCATCCGGCAGGAAGAGGCCCTGGGGCAGTGCCTTCAGCTGATTGAAGCTCAGATTGATATAGCTCAGCTCGCGCATCTGGGCAAACGATTCGTTCGAAATGCTCTTCAAATTGTTATTGTCCAGGCCGAGCCAAATGAGCTGCGAGAGCGGCAGCAGAGCATCCAATGGATCCAGCGACTCCAAGCTCCTGGCGGGAAATACGGCAAACGAGAGCTCCAGTATTTTCAGCGTATGCGAGACATTCTCAAACACCAGAGGATGGTGTATGGTGATGTCGTTGAAGCTCAAGCTGATCTCCTGTATCTGCTCCAGGCCCGCAAACGAGCCGAGATGCAAATGCGTTATCTTATTGTTCCTGAGAAGTATCGTCTGCAAATTGGCCCCCCAACCGTCCACGGCAAAGATGCCCTCGGGTATGTCGGCTATAGAATTGTAGCCAATATTCAGATAGGACAGCTGTGTGTAGTTCTTCAGTCCGAGAACGGGAATCATCGTGAAATTGTTGCCACTCAGGCTGAGCACTTTGAGATTCTCGGTGAAGGTGGGCAAGTTGTTCAGCTGATTGATATGGTTGGAGGTCAGATACAAATATCTTAAGCGATGCAGCGTAGATATAGCCACAGGCACTGTAGTCAGATGATTTCGCTCGAGGTCCAGATACTCCAGTGTGTCCGTGAGACCATCAAAGGCGGCCGGGTGCACTCGACTGATGGCATTGAAGGCCAGCACAAGGTGCACAATGCCCGTGTCCTTGAACACCTCAGCGGGCAGGTGAGCGATGTAGTTCTGCTCCATGTTTAGCGCACGGATGTGCACATCCGAATAGTTTTGCTGAAAGTAATCCGACTCCAGCTGCTCAATGCAGTTCTGCCCCAGGTCGAGCTTCTCCAGGTGCATGCGCAGCGGCCGCTGCTGCAGCTCCTTCCACTGGACGCTGCGCAGCAAATTGTCCCGCAGGCTGACGATGCGCAGCTCCGGCAGGTGCTCGAACAGCTGATGCGGAAAGACGCTCAGCAGATTGCTGGACAAGTCCATGGTCACCAGCGAGCGGGGCAAGTAGTTGGCTGCCACGTGAGTGATGCGATTATTGGACAGATCGAGCCACAGCAGCTTCTGCAGCTGCTCGAACGGACGACCACTGCCCGCACGTTCCATTCCACCCGTTCCAGCCGCATGCAGCGCATTGCCCGATTCCGCGCGGTTCTGCACGGCAGCCAAGCTGCTCGGCTGCGAACTGTTGTCGCCCGGACCTAGGGACGAGTCTAAAGCGCCACCTGGCGACACCTCCGTAATGTCATTCCCTGACAAATGTAGCGAACGCAGAGTATCGTGCAGCGCCTCCCAGTTGCCATCCAAGCTGGTTATGTGATTGCTATTGTGAATGGAAAATGGGATAATTCAATTTAGTGGGGCAAAATACATTACTTATTAGAATGCAACATTTAAGAGATGGTATCTATATAAAAGATTCAATTCTATATATCGAAGTCTATAAAAGTCTCCTTATAGTGAAAGCTAAAGCTGATATTTTTTTAAAGTCCTACGAATCTGTAACTAAATTTCTCTCGCTGCATTTCATGTTGTAAGTTATTTATTTCAGAATAAAAATATCCCACTTTATTTTATTGTTTTGCAAAAGTATCTGTAGGATATATGTAAATATCTATGTGTAAGAGAAAAATACAATTTAAAGCTGATTTTTTTTTTTTTTTTTGCCAAGAAGTTATTTAGAATCTCTTTTTTTTCGGTTATTTATTTATTTTTTAAGTACCTTAATCTTATCTCATAAATACTTTTTACACTATATAAACTGCGCAACATATTTGCATCTATCAAAACATCAGTAAGTCACTCAAACAGTAAAGCCATTGTCTCTCTCTCTCTGTCTCTCTCATTTTCTGTATTTCACAGTGATGGACTTGAGAGCGACGCAAAGAGCTTTTCGATTGTCATTTGTCAGCGCTGAAATTGAACTCAATCCACTTACCGTTGTGCCACAAGACGTGTGAGTGAGTGCAGTCGCTGCAGTGCCTCCAGTGGCAGCTGCTGCATCTTGTTGCCGGAGATGTCCAGTGTCATTAAAGAGTACGTCATGGTGCTGTGGAAGAGTGTGTATATCAGAGAAGGAGAGAGAGAGAGATATAGTCATTATGTGTTAGCTTTATTATTGTTGTTTTATGTATTTTTGATATGTTTATAATACTAAAAGTTTTGCTAAACTTTGAAAGCTAAGCCTCGCCACGCCCCGGCGAAGCGCCCCTCTGGTTATTGAGGTGCTGCATGCCTTTTGACATAACCAGCACACAAGTCGGAAAACAAATATTTAAACTTAATTAACGCACCGCACACCCAGCGACAGCGGCAGAGGCAGAGGCAGCGGCAGCGAGTCGTATGACCTAACCTAACCCAACCCCCCTCTGGACACACTCATCGACATTTCGTTACCGCTGCACTCCATTAATAGTTACACATAAACACACACACACACACACACATACAAAATAAACAGCGAAAAGTATAAGCAGACAGAGGAGGCAAAGCGCAGAGGAGTGCGCAACAGAGTAAAAGAGCGACCTCAATTATGAAAACCACGAGGTTTTACAAACAAGCATCAGGCTGCTTTAGAGCCTGGGCGCCCCTTGTTCTTTGTTCGCTTTGTTGTTGTTGCTGTTGCTGTTGTTGTTATTATAACTACTACATTGTTGTTGGCTGTCGGCTGTTGGCGACGAAGAATCAAACGCAAAACACAAACCGAATTTTTGTGGCTCCTTCTACTTAGTCTCTATCGCTCTCGCTCGCTCTCGCCTTAAGCGCCTTCCTCCGGCATCAGTTGTTGATGGCGGCTGTTTTCGGTTTGCGTTTTGGTTGCCGTTTCCCGTTTACCGGTTGCTCGCCGTTCGCTTTTGCTGTTGCTGTTGTTGCTATTATTGTTGTTTTACTTGTGGTCTCACATTTGAGTTGTGTGCGTGAGCGAGTGCGTTTGTCATCAAAAGACTCTATGTAAATATAGCAAATTCGCTGTGTACTCACTCAGGCATACACATATGTATGCATATTCATAAGTCGAGGGCAGTTCAAAGAGTAGCTTCAAAAACGTGGTATCAAAGCAAAGTTAACAAATCTGACTTTGATTATCAATTAATTTTACAATATAATTCGTAATACAATACAATATATTCGAGATAATATTTGTATGCATATTTTTTATACATCTCCGCTATGTCTTTGAACTAACCTCGCTTAGGTTTTCCTTATTTATTACAATCTTCAAAGGACGAAATACTTGGAATTCATTGTATCTAATATCAAACACCATATCCTTTCCACATATTTATAGATAACCGAAGACTGTGGCAACCCACATGCATACATACTTACGTATAAGTTATGTACGTATATGTATTTGTATACATGCAAAAAACAAAGCTATGTTCACATTTGACACACTAGCGAGCGACACGCGACACAAGCAGTAAAATAACACACGCACACTCACACACTCACGTACACCATCGCACACACTCGCTAACCTGCGTGTAAAAAATTAATCATGCATGCAATACAAACAAAAATTGGACGTAAGCTGGCTAAAGGCTTTCCGATCTAACGATTAGGCAAATATACTTTCATTGGGATCATTAGCAGATGGCTAAGAAACCGACTAAACTTCTTACTTGGTGATTTCATAATTTATTCAGTGAAGCTCTTTAAGCAGGCGATATCACGATATTTGAGAGGGGTTATGAAATATATCATTGATTTCTTAAACTATTTATTATTAATATATTAAGAATGAATTGTACATTTTGTAATAGTATAGTTAAAACTTAAAACGGTAAAAAGAGCTAATTTTAATATAATAAACTGTTTATATCTTCAGACAAAAACGATGCTAAATTTTGTATTCATCAAATACATGTCTATTTGTATATTTGTATGTACATGCATGCGTATATGTATATTTTATTGCTTATATCTTTAACTATAAATTTGCTTGGTATTTGCCGTAAATCGTTTATAAACATGTTCAATCAATAAAATCAAACAATAAAATATACAAATAAATATATAATCCTGTTTATTTATCTTCAAAGCTTATTTTAAATGCAAAAAGTCAACGGCCAACCTGCAAGCGCTGCCCGATTTCTGTTTATATACAATTAAAATCAAAATTTCCTAGCACACCCTCGAGGGGCGACAGCTCCAAGCAGATTTTTTTTTCAAATTTGGGTTCAAAAGCAGCTGATCCATTCCCCATTATCCCCATTTCTTTCTCTGCTCTTGAAGATACATATGAGATGAGATCAAAAGCAAGACGCATAATGCTAGCTGCCGAAAAGTAAATATTCTTCTTAAATATCTTGCTCTCGAAGCAGTAAGGGTCGCTCTTGTACACACATGATATTTGCATTCTTTGCGCTCTTTTAGCACAAGCATATGAAACGGGATCAAAAGCATAACCGATTAAGGTGACTATAATTAACTGAGTTAATACTCATACCCTTACATTAAGCAGCCGACCTACTCACACTAACATATGTACGTACATATATACGAATGTATGTACATATATCCATAGTTTGTGCTCTCTGCTTGCATAATGAGATGTAACGAGGTCAAATGCATGAGCACTAATAGGCACTGCAAGCAGCTGACTTGCCTTCCATACTCTTTACGGCTTTGTAGTCAATTGATTACTATGGGAGCTGTGAAGCATACCTAACGACGACCCACTCATACTAACATATGTATGTACATACATGTATGTATGAAATCCAAATTTCTTACTTTACTCTTGAACAAACATTTCAAACGTGATAAGAAGAAAAGGCGATAATTCTTGCTGCCGAAATGTAACTCCTCTCCCGCTCTCTTAAAATCAATGGATGCATAGTGTAGAAATACTTGCTGCCAACTCTGTTATCCATGCATTGCATGCGAGCCATTCGCGCTCACATTATACATATGGGCATTTCTCCAGAAAGGTCAACCGCAGCCAAACCTTCGACCCTGATTAAAACTAAAAAATAAAAAAAACTACTCAATATTTTTCAATCAAATAAAAAACATTGTAAAGATGTGTGAATTTCTAATAATTTAAAATTATTCATAATAAATTGTCACTTAACGTTTCGCTAAAATCTCAGGTTGAACTGTTAATTTAAAAAGCGACTTACGTTTTTTCTAGCCTGCGAACCTCATGGTTTTTTGTGATTATCTTGAAAACTAACCTTTGCCTAAAATCAGATTTAGAACCAACTATAGAGCTAATCCAGAGCTAAAGGATTCACTGTTCGTCAAAATAAAAAAATGTTTTGGCATTTCCTTTTTTTTTTTTTTTTTACTCAAAAACGTACGAATGTCACATTCGCCACTAAAGAATTGCCCATAATAATTGTGCTCCTGTAGCAGAACCAAAGTAAGAGCAACAATGGCGAGCACAGATAACAGTTATTTCCCTTGCTCTCAAGCTTAACGTCGATCCACTCGCACTCTCATATTGTCTAGATTCCTTGCTCTTGCTCTATACTCTTGCAGAAACATATGAAATGAGATCAATTGCAGAGCGATAATGACGTTTGTTGACAGCTGAGCTGTCTCTTTGCAGCAATGGTTCTGCGAGTGAAGCATGCCTAGCAGCCGACTCACCCATACTTACATACTCCAGACATTCGTTGCTCTACTTCAGCACATACGTGAAACGCGACCTTGTGCTGAGCTCTCAGCTGTGCAGCTATCTCACTCACGTGCACACACAAGCGCACTGCGCATTCTGCAGTCTGAACATAGAAAATGGGATCGGTAAAATAGCTGAGCTATCTCTTATATACTCCACAGAAAAATGTACTCAGTGGATAAACACTTGTTGCCAGCTCTGTGAGCCGTGCCTTGCACGCACGTATACGCACATTTTACAGTGGAACACATTTATTTACTTTTGTATTATTTTTAATTGTACGCTGTTAACAGCTAAATTATCGGTTTCACTTATTTTTAGCTTTCGTGGCTTAAGTCTATTAATAAATAAATTGATTGTGCTTAAAAGAATTTCTTTCTCTTCACAATAAGAATAATTATGGCTAAGACACACAGAGACCCAAGCAGACCATAGCCAATATAGGCCAGCCATTTGAGATTGTTCGATCCATTGGCTTCCCTGACGACATCATCCCGCGATATACAGTTATACGCTAATGAGCTGCAAAATACTTGACAGTTGTCGCCTTTCGTAATACACTTGACCCAATCGAAGCAAGGCTTCGTATGATCATCCGCACAGAAGTTCAAGCAATTCGCTGAGCTAAGCAATTCCAGGGAAGTTCCGTTCCGGAACCAGCACTGACAGCTATTTCTACATTTATCCAAAAACTTGGGAATGTTATCAACGTCCGCCCCTCTGACCGTTATCAGCGACAGCAATGCCCAGAGCCACGCATGCCGTAACATGTTTGAACAGTCGATGAAGTGACAGGCAGCACGATCCAAATCCAACTGAACTCAGCAAGCATCCAACTTCTTCTCGAGTAATTCCCGATAAGCCAGCTGTGGCTGCATAGTAACGAATATGTGTCCAGTAAATATACGGGTCAATGAGATATAAATATATATATGTATTATATAATATAATACATATTTATTGTACAACTGATATCAGAGCAAGAAATCAATTACCATATTATAATTTCTGCATCATATATATTATATTATATTATTATATTATTACATATATTATAAATTGTAATTGATAGCGAACATGAGGAAATCTGCATTCTTCAGATTATTATTAACCTCGATTTCTATATTAACAAAATACGAAATATAAGTGATAAAGGCAGGGATACAGTACATACATATTTATGTATGTAAATATGTTTATATGAGATTTTCTTGAAACTGGATGGTAAGCAATAATACGAGGCTTTGCTGAAACATTTTGCTAAATGTGTTAGGGTAATCGCATCGCATGATACGAGGGATTCTTTAAGCCGTTTCCGAATGTGAAGGTATGGAAAGGCGTTGAATATGATTCGAGAATTTCTTAAAACATTTTTCTGAATGTGAAAGTAAAGTATGCCATGCAAGGGCTTCAGAATTATATACAAGAGTTTCTTGGAACCACAGTAACATGAAAACCATGGAAAAATTAAAATAGAACTATTCTTTCTTCTTTAAATTACACAGTAGCTCACAGCTTATATGATCCATCATAAAATACAAATTGCATAAAAATTTGAAAAGAATAGAGATTTTTGAAAAACTGAAATATTTTTCTTTTCGATATTCAGTGACATATTAAACATAATTTATTTATTCATTTTTTATGCATAACAATAACAAAATTATATATTCATGATTTCTCTTTATTTTCTTTATTTAGACTCTCTATATATAGTTTTTCTCTGCTTATTCAGCTGCTCATGTTGCCCGCATCCATCCGTAGATGCCTTTCAGAGTATTTCAAATTGTGGTTTTACAACTGCTGAGCTAACTTTTCGAGTAACATGCGACGCAAGACACTGCAAATGAGCATGTGTGAAAGAGAGGGTGATAGAGGGAGGAACAGAGCTAAAGAGTAGGTGTGGAATTGGATGCTTGGCGTAATTTTAGCCACATTTTTGTCAGGTTTGTGCACATTAATTAGTTTGATTTAAGTTGAGATGTGGCCTGTTGACGAGCGACTCGTCTGTCTATTTGCCCGACCAGCCCCTGCCCCTCCCTCAATCCCCTTTGAGCTCCAGCTATTACCCTTTTATGCACATTATCTGTTTACTTTTGCATGTTGTGGTAGAGCAGAGGAGGGTGGGTAGGCGTGGTAGGGGCAGGGAGAGGGGCTAAAGTGGGGGCCTTAAAAACTGTGCAAACTGTTAACGCACGTCCATTTAACTTTACCAAATGTGTGTGTGTGTGTGTGAGGGGGGAGGGGTTTTGCGGTGGTCGTGCAATGAGGGGCCATGCGGGGCGTGAAGCAGGGGGCGTGTCTGGTTTGGTTTGAGTTCTTTGTGCTCGTTAAAAAATTTTCGCGTTTCATTTCATGCCGCCCAAAAGGAAAACCCAACAACTGCCAAATGCGGTCGAGTGGTAAAAAGAGAAAGAGCACACAAAAGCGCACGAGAGAGCGAGAGTGGGAGAGAGGAGCGAAAGAGACAGGCATACAGTGTTTGATGTGATGTGTTGTGTGGGACCATAAAAAAGCTGACGAAATATGTGCTTGTTGTACGCCGTCCGTCCGTCCGTTCGTCCATCCGTCCGTCCGTACAACACTCTCCATGCATATTTCGAGTCCGTTTGCCGCTCTCCTGTACTCCTCCTGCAGGGTATTTGAGCTGGCGAGCAACACATAATTGCGGCATAGCCGAACCAGCTGAATGCTTATCAGCAAAAAACTAACGTCAAATATTTCCATCTCTCTTGTTAGCATCTCTTTCTTTATTTTTTATTTTTTATTCTTTTTTTTTTTTTTTTTCACTTTTTACTGCATAATTTAGAGTATCTCCTCTGCTTTGCTATTCTGTCTGTAGAATAAGAGGTGTCAGTAGTAATTTTAGTATAAAAGAACGAATAATTTTAGTATAATAAACTATCCATTCTTTTATTTACTTGTAGTATTTGTAAAGTTTCCTTTTTGTTGATTTGCATACACCGTATACACTATATATATATTGTATTTTACTTATATTTTATAAGATTAACAACTATTACTCGTATATATTATCTTTGCATATTATTTTACATTTACTTCAACTTTGCCTCTTATTCTTTTAGCTTCTTTTCTATATGGAATAATAATAATTTATATTGTTATCTTTATCTTTTCCTTCTTCTCTCGCTCTCTCTTTCTCTTTCTCTGTCCGTCTCTCTCTCTCTCTTTCTCTCTCTCTCTCTGTGTCTCTCTATCATTGCTTCTGTAGTTCTCCTCGTATTCCCTCTTTTAATTTGATCTCTAAATCTCTCCCTCTCTCTATATAATGGCTGATTATATACGTATTGGATAGATAAAATATACATATGATAGAGCGAGCGAGTGACCTATATAGAGAAATGTTAAAAGGGAGGATAATATACACTTTATCACATGCATCATATATTATCTATCCTATACATACGTATTATGGATCGGTTACTAAAAAGAGAGAGTAGTTGCTGATCCACATAGAATCTTCATATATATTCGTTTGCTTACCTTTTCATTCAATGCAATTCAAAAGTTAAATAAAACTGTTTTCTCTGAGTTTTCATAACAGATATTTATAATTGTCCACTAAATGTGCATTGTTGTTTCTTTTTTTTTTTTGTCGCTAGGGTATTAAAATGTCGTTTAACTGTAAATTTGTTTTTTTTTTTTTTTTTTTTTTTTTTTTTGTTTGTTGTGTTTAACTCGCTTTGCTGCTGCTGTGTTCTTCTTCTTTTTTTTTTTGTGATTATTTACACTCAAACAAATAGCGCTTGAAAGTTTTTCTTTTGCCCAGCCGTGTGTCTGAATATGTGTGTGTGTGTGTGTGTATTTTACAGTGTTCACCATGCGAGTTTGCATTTCCTGCCTGCATTTTCAGCCTGAGTGCCCCATGAAACACTCCCAAACAGTGAAAACGCAGCATAACCAAATTCTCTCCCCTCTGTGCTTTCTCCTCGCACTCCTGCCCCTGTCCCATCGCCCCTTTGTCTCTCGCAGTTACCTCACTTACCCCGTCAGCCACCGGCTCCTGCTAGTCGTTCGTTAAACTTAATTTTACGCCTTTTTTACAGCTTGCAGTTATATGTTGTAAATATATGCGTGTGTGTGCGTATGTGTGTGTGTGCGCGCACTACAAACACATAAACACACACAAAAATGCCAAAGAGAAAAGAAAAAACAAACGTGAAAAACTGCCGCACAGCGGCCATATAAATAGGCCTGGCAAAACTGTCGCATCATCAGAATAAATGAAATACATATGTGCATATGTGTGTGTGAGTGAGTGTGTGTGTTTATGAGCCAGAGTGCATCATCATGGCTCAGCACTTATGCGAAGAGACCTAATCGCAAATGCCAGCACACGTAGCCCTAACTCCAATGCAATGCCACGCCTCCCTACCCTAGCCACTGGCCGCAACGGCACACCGCCTGCTCTGCCCATACACATCGTGCCGACCTTCACACTCACCTGAAACTGCGCTCCGATATGTCCTGCAGCTCGTTGTCGATTAGCTTCAGCGTCTTCAGCCGCAGGCCCTGAAACGTTTCATCGTCGACGCTCTGCAGATGCGTGTTCGACATTTCGATATATCGCACGCTGCTGTGTATGAATTCTGCAAGAGAGATAAGAGTGAAAAAGAGTGTGAGTGAGTGTGAGTGAGTCAGGGGTAGAGTGACATATGCATGTGTGTGTGTGTGTCTGTGTGTGTGTCGAATATATTGATGTGGCATCGGCGACCAAGTCAAAGTGATGCTGCCTGCCAGCATTGGCCGCCACCAGTTCATCATTCAAATTGATTTTAAACGGCATTTGAAGCGTTTCCCATAACCCGAGGGAACAGTTCGAGCCACGCTCCGGCCTCATCTCGCCTCGACTGGCCTACAGCCCCCACCTCCAGCAGAGGACTGGGGCTAACGATGATGGCTTTTGTTTTGGCAGTTTGATAGCAGGCGCGTTAAAGCAAATGGGTCATCAGCGAGCCATTGGCCCACACAATAGACTAGAATCAGAAGGGGAAAGAGCGAAAGAGAGAGAGAGAGAGAGAGACATAGAGGGAATTGCCTGCTGGACTGGTTTGGGCAGCACTTTGATTTTTATGCGCTTTTTCCTTTCCCAGCAACCACCCGCCATAATAGGACAACGACCAAAGCAATTTAAAAGGCACTTTAGATATATTGGAAGAGTGACATCGTTGGCAAAACAAACAGCACGCTGCAAACGCTTGACTTGATTGCCCAACAGCAACAACAGGATGACGCAGAAAATGACGAAGAAGAAGACAGAGAAGCAGAAGAAGAAGCTAGAGCCGGAGCAGGAAGACTAGAGAGCAGCCGCAGCAGCAGCAGCAGGAGCCGTAGTGGCAGCAGCAGCAGCAGGAGCAGTAGCGGCAGCAGCAGCAGCAGCAGCAGCAGCACCAGGAGCAAGAGTATCAGCAGCAGTTGCAGCAGGAGGAGCAGGAGGACTAGAGAACAGTAACAGCAGCAGGAGGAAGCTGCAGGCAAAGCAAAGAACTGCACAAAATTTATATAACATTAAGAGCCAAATAGCTAAGATAATTTTGACCAAGAGCAAATATGCGAGGGAATACTGAATACAGTGAGAGCAGAGAACATAAAAAAGGGTTTTCAGAGACGAGGGTTTTTAGCGAGGAGAGGGACAGTTAAATAATGTGCCACTCACTTGAATAGGTCTGAGTTTTTTTTTTTTTTTTTTTTTTTTTATGATATCTCATTAACGAACACACCGATTTGAATGAAATTAAGGTTGTAATATAAAAAAGTCAGACAAACAAAAGCTACGGATCTGAAAATTTCGATTTAATAGAGTTTTTTAAGAAATGTTGAAAAATGTAACGGAAAATATTTTAAGAACTTTAACTTGCATTTGCTTAAGTACACAACACAAACAAGATAGATAAGCTCTATGTGGAGATCTATAAATAGTCAAGTTAGAGGTGAATGCTTAATCGAACTAAACAATGATTAATTGAAGAAAATTCCTCCTTATCTACAGTAGATAGAAAATGAAAAATATATATCACATATAAAACATAATTCACTAATGCAACTGCTCAAATATCCTGTCAAATCATGCCGTGTCAGCTGATATAGGAGAATAAATTTCATTAATTTCAATTGAGAGTTTTTTTACTCACTGGCTAATTTGAATTCGAGCCCCATTTGTGTGCCCTCTCCCACCCACTTGCCACCCTCCCCCCGCACCACTCCCTCGCTCATTGTTGGGCCATCTAAATTGGCGTGTAATCCGTAACTGGATAAACAAGCTGCGGGTCAAAAGGCCAAGCACCTGCTACATAGTTTTAATGGGCGCCACAATGGCGAGGCGCCACGCGTGAGTCGGCGAGGGGCAATCGGTGAGTTGGTGCGCTGGCGCGTGGGCGAGGGGCAATCGGCGAGTGTCGCAATTAATTTGCGATTCGCTGAGCATGTGTTAATTAACAATAGCGACAAGGTCCTTCGAGTGCGCGGCCGGCCTAAGCGCACGACCACGCCCACTCCACGACGCCTCTGCTGGCGTCGGGTGACCATGTGTTTTTAGCCTGATTATATGAAATGTGGCTCCAAAGGGAATTTCCGTGTCATGCCTGTCAGCTTAAATTATGGCCTGGCCTTAGCTCAAGTAAAGCGGCAAATGCGACGCGCCACGCCCCCAACATTCGCGCGCTACGCCCGATGGCCAAAAATAAAAAGAGACACCATTTTCTTGTTGTTGTTGTTACCGTTGCCGTTGTCAGTCGAGTGCGGCATGTGGAACGCGTGGAATGGGCCAGACCCGAGCGGAACGAGCGAAATGCAGCGGCCAGAAAACTCTGACGTGCAACATGAAAATGCACTTTTCGCTTTTAATTGAAAATTTTTTACGTGAATTGTCATTGCCATGAATACGGCTACGGCTACGGCTACGGTTCTGACGCTGGCCCTGTCTCTGCTTCTTCTTCTTTTTCTTCTACTACTATTTTTATATATGTATGTATACATTTTTGGTACACTTTCATTTGGTTTCGTTTTGGTTTTTGGTTGCGAAATCTCTGTTTTTTTTTTTTATGCACGTTTACATTGAAAGAGATTTTGGGGTATATTGGCTTTCTGTGTCTCTATTGTAGCTGGAGAGAAGTGTGCGGGCAGTATAGATTATAGATTTATTAGAAAGCATAGATTATTATTTCAGAAGAGAGGATGAGATATCAGATAGATAGATTTATGGAATATTATAGCTGTACACCGAATCTGTATCATGCCACTGTAGACTCTTTGGGAAATACTGATTTACGCCTATTCGAAACAATTTAATAACTACGATCAATTCGAGCCAATGATTGATCATGGAACATCATTTTGATGATTTATAATTATTTCATTCCACGCCAGTTATCAGAATTTCCTTCAATTCTCACCCACATTCCCAGCTTGAACAGGTATTAAAGAGTCGGTTACGCTCGTTCCGCTTGATATATTGTTGTTGCTGCCGCATGTCTCGGTTTTCGTTTTATTTTTAGTTAGCAGGCTCTGTCTGACAGCTTTCAAAATAAGAGAAACAGACACAGAGACACATGGATTGACATATACAATATGCATGCGAGAATATGTATGCATGTGAGTGTGCCGTTCTGCGTGTGTGTGCACTAAAGTCAAAGTGAAATGCGAATGCAATTGCAGATTGTCTGGGATTGTCATTGATTTGGCCATGAGCATTTCAGCAGCAATTCAACTTTACAGTCGACTGCACTTAAACAATTAATGAACAATTACATCCAGGCATCGAAATTAGTTCAGCAAAATCTCGAACAAGTTTTTTACCATGTGCTATTACCATGGCACACACATAAGCTGTAGAAACTTTCTATAGAAATTATTAATTGAATTTGGTTTTCAGCTTAATCAATTCGATTTAGTCATAGTCTGAACAGATTGAAAATGTTAATTGAAGCTCTAATGGGTCTTATGTGTATCTGACAGAAGGAGGCGTGGCAGAGCAAGTCAAGTTTGTGGTGCATAGAAAATGCAACTGTAGGTAATACTTACTAAGTAATACTTAGTTACTTAGCAAATAATTAAGTATTTCTTAGTAGTTGACAGCAAAGCCGAACAGGCGAACCTAATGGAGAGTGTAATAGCAGAGTCTAACAGCACAGTCAGATATTGTTATGTTAAGAGCAGAGTCCCATAGCAAAGTGTAATAGCAGAAAGTAACAGCGAGTCTAATAGCAAACAGCTCAGTCAAATACTGTTATGTTAAGAGCAGAGTCTCACAGCAGAGCTCAACAGTGGAGCCTAACAGCATAGCATAACAGTGCTCAAGAGCAAAGTCTAACAGAGAAGTCGGATATCAGAGTCAAATAGCAGAGTTTGATACTGTGAAGCTAACAGCAAAGTCAATTAGCAGATTATGATTGTGTAACAGACTAACAGAAGGGCTTCACAGCGCAGCCAAAATGATCAATTTAGCACTGAACTCTAGCAGTAGAGCTCACTACTGAGTGGCAGGGGTAGCCTTTTAACAGTGTCTCAGTGTTTGCCTGAGACTTACAGCTTATTTTTTTTTTTTAATTCATTTTTATTAGGAAACGCCAGAGCATCTTTTTACCCTAAGTAGAGCTTATACAGATTACAGCTTATACAGGTACAATCCGACTGATCTAGCCTCAGGAAACGCAGGCTGCTGGCAGGCAGGCTTAATTTGGTTATGTATGAAAACTCAGCATATATCATATTTTCCTCTTCCTCCTATCCTCTGAATTTCCATGTTTGTATGTAGCATTTGTGCTTCGGCAAATAGACGGCCAGAAATGTCATCAAGTTGCTCGGAAGATTTGATTAACAAAGTTTAACTAGAACAACTTTAAAGTTATGCAAGTATTTTGTTATTAGCAAATTTCTATTAGAGAATCCTATCAACTCAAATCATGTGTATGTATATGTTCTGGTTATCTATACATATATATGAAAGCAGCAGGGAATGCGTAGAATATTGGTTTTCAAATTTGTTTTTTTTTTTTTTTTTTTTTTTGCATTTTCCTTGTGACTTTGACTAAACTTGAAATTGAAATTAATTTAGTTTGATTATAAATATTTGAAGCAAGTCTGCCGCTCTGGCCGTAAGAAATGCAGTTATTAAAAAATAATTTATTCATAAACGCATTTCATAATCATTTATTTATTTGCGCAGCTCAAATGCGGTTCGTTGCTTTTAAGACTGCAGAATTACTGTGAAATGTGTGCCTGAGTGTGTGTGTATGTGTGTGTGAGCGTGTGTGTGGCTAATACACACGCAGAGTAAACGACGATATATGCAAACAACTTACATCTTAATTACATATCGCATATTAATACAATATTAATCATACGCCCTGTTGACACGCGCGCACTGGCCAACTGGCAACGTGGCCAACAAACGCATTGGCTATGCAGGATGGCAGCTTCGGTGGGCGGGGCGAGTGTACAGAGAGGGTGTGCGAGTGTGTATGTGTGTGAGTGTGTGTGTGTGTGTCTATAGAATGTGTGCATATCTAAGCTATACAGCTGTTGCTGTAGCTGTTGTTGTTGCTGCTAGCATTGCTCTTGTTATGAGTGGACAACACACACATAACACACA